GGCCTCCGTAGTATTTCTCAGGTCAACTCAAATCTATCCTTGTGGAATATGAAATGGAGACTATTAAGCCACGTACTTTTTATGTAAAGGAGAAAGACTACACTTTCAGCAACAGATGGTTTTATGACGGAGAAGCTGTACACACCAAGATGAAGGGTAAGCAGTTCCCGAATATCAGCAATTCTGCGACAAATGGACACAAACTGAACAGAAGAATACTGCAGTGTGGTAATGGTACATTCATGGCGATACTGTCAAAACTGGCTTACGTGGTGTTATCAAGGGTGCGAACCATGAAGTGGTTTGTTTCTTATTGAAGAGCTGGATTGGGATCCAAAAAACTTTGCCATGCCACAACGAATGGAGACATGGCTTGCAAGATTAAGGATACTATTGGGTCTCTCTGTCCTAGGAGAAGTAATACGATGAAATGTTCCAAGCGAGAAGACGGGTTCTTGTTATAAGTAAAACGGTAGGGATATAGGTAAATTAATCTGTATATAAAACTTTTATTACTACAACTACCTTTCTGAGATTCGCATGCACCTCGTACGTCATTCAATGTCAGTCATTGAAAAAAATCAAGCGTCCAACTCAAATCACAGGCGACCCCGAAAATTAGGAGCCAACTTTTAAATGTGAAGAACGCAAGGCGACTTTCATGTGCATGTACATGCGTTGACTGTATCCCGTCAATACAATACTAGTCGAATACGTAGACTTCTACAGGGCCTTCTAAGTAATGCGCGCCGGGTATAATTCAAACCTCTGCCCCCATCGGTACCATTACCCCTAAAGCAAATCGTCTCCAGGAGACGAAATAACAAAAGAGCTGATTGGATTGTCTGTTGACGTTGCCTTCAAGAAAGGATCCATCAAGTTCCGATTCCAAGAATTCAGCAGAGGCGAAAAAGGTGCAAACTGACGTCAGTCGTGACTGACGGTACCTCGTGACTTCTTTTTAAAAAAGGAAATTGAGAAATGCTTGGTTATTTTTTAAAATTAAAAACCTTTGGGTCTTCAATCCTGCGACCAGGATCCATCAGATTCGTGCATGAATCGAACGAATCGAATCTCAATCGAATCACTGCAATATATTTTGTTGGTGTCCTGATGGCCTTGATGGTGTCTTTGGATGCCCCACTGGTCCCTATGCATAGCTAGGATAGCTGCATGCAAGTCTTGATGATCTAATTAGGAGCCGTGGGGCAGTGAGAGAAGAAGTAAGTTACCTAATGTAAGCAGGACTCCGCCATAGTCTTGTCATTGGTGGCCATTCCTGGATGAAAAGTCGTTAGTCTTCGCAGTGCGAGCGACTACTGCGCGGGAGCTCTATAAACAACTCACTCTTACCACCAAAGACACAAAGCCATGATCTTCTGGGCTCAGCTGGATCGCACGCCAACTTTTCCTCGTCTTCTGTGATGAAGAATTCGCCAAGACGACGTTTCGTGCTCTTATTTGAATCTGGCATGACGCACTTGAGGGGATGCTGAACCGATCCATCTGTGGTGTGGAAGAGCATGGGCTCGGTGACAATGAGTTTCCACTGTTGTCCGAACATCTCATCATTCTGCAGCACCGTGCTGTAGTCCCTGCTGGCCAGCGGAGGCCGTCGGGATACGAACCCTTGAGCCCAGCACTGCCCTTGAAGGCCGAATTCTTGGCCGCCTTGACGTGCACGGTCACAGAGGATTTGTAGCGCTCCAAAAGCACACCATTGCCAGACCTAAATCTACACGGAAGAGATGCTGGTGCTCGTTGATCTTTTGGTAGACAGGAACCAGAAGATAGCTTTGTCTTCTTGAGGTTCTCCAGTCTGGCCGTTGAGCCAATGCTGGACCACACTACAGCTGTACCAGCCACCACCGGACGACAACTCGAGCGTGTCGTCGCCAAGACGAATAACAGCTGCACCAATGTAGGACTACCTGTACGGTACCCAGCCGACCGCCACCTACCGTACCAGTCGGATATTGCACCGCCGCAGAGCACTCTTTGTGTTGCAGCTCCCACACTTACTTGCGCGGGAACCAGTCGTGGTTCTCGCTGGAGTGTCAAACTGTGACTTTTCACTGTTCACTGGTGTCGCCGGAGCTCATGATGATCGATCAGCTCTCTGCCCGGGCCCTCTCAATCGATGGGTGACTGTACATTGATATCTGGACTGATTGACAATGGACTACATCGCAACGCTGCCATAAAACAGAAAGCCACCAACTAAGAAAACCTACTTGGCTAAAACAAACCCTTCGGTACAACCAGCTCTACCAGAAAGCGCAGCATCGACCAAATTCATCATGTTCAGGCATTCGTCTTCCCTTTCTCGGCTTTTCTTCTTTCTCTTGGCAGCGGTCGCGTCTGCCACCAATAGCATGAGCCACAATGCAGCCAATAGTCCCAGCAGCCCCAATGGACCGTCTTTGGACTACATGTACAGACCCATCACAACCAGCGAAATCCCCATGGCTTGTTTCAACGAACACTACGAGCTCAACTTGGTCGTCTTTCAGGAGCGCCTTTTCTTTGCTGCTTTACCTCTCGCCACTTCGAGTTGTCCTCCCATTGTGACCTTGGCTGGCTTTCGCCACACTGACCATGCCACATATCTGGGTACCATTGTTGGGGTCGAGCTCGTGCGAAGCACAGGGACATTTATAGGATTCCAGGACTTGCATTCGTTACGAATCGCCTACACCAATGCGTTGGCTACCACTCACCCAGTAATGCACGGGCAGTTGACGGAAGAGGGTAACTGCACCATCTTTGTCTTCAGCCTGTTGCATCATCTTGGATACGAAGTTACCCGGGAAATTGCAGAATTGGTTGTGATGGCCCTCCTACCTGAAGCCCACACCTTGATGATTGCTCGAGCACACCAGCAACACGATGGCAGCGGCAATGATGGAGGCAGAAAGATCCTCCGTCGCGGTCTGCGTGCCTTGACCGAGGAAGCAGAAACCAACAATGTTACCCATGAGTTGGTGGTACAGGTGGTCAGACACAATGTGCATAGCTGTTCCGCTGTTTGAAGTGGATACCATAATGTTAGAACAACGTAGCTCATTGACGGTTTCTTGATAGTTTTTAATGGGGGGTGAACCAAATGCTTTGCACCTACAAGTGCAGTACGGTACTAGTATCCTCAACTTTCAAGATAGCATCCACATACCAATTTTTTTAATGAATGCCCATTTGAAACATAGCCGGCTGGCTGGAGATAGAGCAAGAAGGACACACAACATACATCGTCTTGCAGGTCGTCCTTGTACCTTTATTACGGGACTAGCTAGTACTGGTACCATACCTGTGTGGCAGTACGATTATCGGTAGGGTTAGTCAACAATAGTACGTCAGCAGCCTACGGTACCAAACGGCATCAACAAAGTCCAAAGAGGACAGAAGAAGGACAATGATCGATGATTGGTGGAAAGCAACGTCGAATAAGTTGACCTCAGCCCCAGCTTACCTCTCCGTATCAAATATAATATATCGCTCTTCCTCTGACAAAACAGTTAGCTACAATACAGTTCGTTGAGAGCCATGGATGAAGATAGCAATATCCGGGAAGAAATTGGGATTGGACAAGGCGATGGTGTGCAAGACGATGCGGCCACGAACCAACAAGCGGCGGCCGCTGTGGAAGCTCCCCCTGGAGCCCAAGTGGAGATGATCAATGCCTCCGAATCCATTAATAATAACAATGGCATGGCTACAGTGCAAAATCGCTCTCCTTCCATGCGATCGTCGGCTGCGTCCAATAGTAATACTGTGGGTTTGTCGAATGCTTCGCATCAATCCATGTTGCGACAGCTGGCACATTCACCCACTGGCATGGCACGACCCGCCATTCCCAATCGTAACAATGCCATGATGCCTGGAGGAGGAGTGGCTCATCAGGAAGCTCTTCGTCAAGCCCAACAACAGCCCATGCAACAACAGCAACAGCCACCACAACGGCAGCAGATTCATGTACCGGTAGCAGCTCCTGCTGCAGCAGCTCCCAACAACAACAACATTAATGCTGGTGACAATGCGGTTCCAGAACGCGCTACGGAAACAGAGGCAGTCTATCATCCCTGTTCTTCCTCGGGAAGTGCCAGTAGTGGATGGTCTGTCGTGGAGACTTCGCAAGGTGGAGCCGGAGGCGCGCCTCCGTCTGCTCGTTCTCTCCACGCGGCGGCCCTATTGAATGGCATCATGTATGTCTTTGGAGGTATGTAGGTCGTTCCCTTTGATTCTATTGGGATGTCCACGGAAATGAAATGAATGGACACATGGGTTCTTATTATTTCAATTCTCTCTTTCCAGGGTACGATGGCAGTGTCCGTGTCAACACATTCCATGCCTTTTCGTTTGCTGAAAAACGATGGTCGCCAGTGCTTCCTTCGGCAAACTCTGCCGGTCCACCTTCTCCCCGTGATCGTCATGTAGCCGTCTCCTTTGGGAATTCCTTTTATGTGCATGGAGGTAAGTTAGTTTGGGAAATACTGAAGATCAATTTAAAGTTGAGCTTTTTGGCTTGTTCATCCATCTGACATCACTTTGTCATTGTATTTGTTTGGTTAGGATTTGATGGAACTAGCCGAGTGGCTGATTTGTGGGCATTTGACTTCTCGTCGATGACTTGGAGGGAGATTGTTCCATTGCATGGAAGGCCACCCTCGCCACGGCATTCTCATGCCGCAGTGGTATACGGGAGTTCCATGTATGTCTTTGGTACGGACGTTGGAACATACATACGGTATTTGAGAGTAAAGGAAAGTGTTGTCTTCAAGAGTTCCTCACATACATGCTCTGTTTGTTCTGCATTATCTACCAGGCGGGTACGATGGTTCGTACAAGTAAGTCAAGATCTGTGTTTCATCGATGCATGTATGTCTGCTTTGTTCTTTTCCCTGATGAACAAACACGATGCTAAATTTTGGATAGGTCGGACCTGAACGAGTATGACTTTACAGAATCACGCTGGAGTGTCGTTCCAGCCGCAGGCAGACGACCCCGTGCTCGGTACCGTGCGACCTGTGTCGTCTTTCGCAACACAATGATCTCTTATGGTGGTCATGACGGAACCAGGCATTTGTCGGATGCGCATTTGTTTGACTTTGACACACGCACATGGTCAACGTTGGTGACAGAAGGAACGCCGCCCATTCCAAGGGATTCACATGTGAGTGTGGTACACCGAAGCAGCATGTATTGCTTTGGTGGTAGCAGTGGATCTGCCATGAATGATCTGCACGAATTGCAGCTCCCGTCCAGTCCCTCGGCTCCCGCCAAATGGTATGTCGTTTGCTTGTTATAGTACCTTCCTCCTTCGTGAGTTTGAGCAGAGAAAACCTCCTGAAGTTCCATTTCTTAACCTTTCATAGGCGCCCGGTGAAGATTTCGGGGGTGGATCAACCACGACATCGATTCTGTCACGTTGCAGTGAGCCACAATGAATCTATGTTTGTCTTTGGTACGTGACGTTGCCTTGCAGCTCACTTTGTCCACGGCGACAAGAAGGATCATCTAGCTCTTACCGTGCCTTTGAATTCGTCGAGTAGGCGGTTATGACGGATCAGAGCGATTAAACGATTTCATCAGGTGAGTTGTATCAGCAACAGCTAGTTCTGGCCACAGAACAACAACGTCCTGACTCGTAGCTCGTTTGCTCTGCCTGCCGTGGTTTCGTGTTGTGTTGTGTGACGCAGATTTGACTTTGCTGTCTACGACTTGAGCTTTGAGGTTCCCAACTCCACCATCATTTCAGACTTTAGAGACCTGATCAACAATGAGACCCTCTCCGATGTCACTTTCTTAGTTGAGGAACAACCCGTCTATGCTCACAAGCTAATGCTGATGTGATCAGCCTACTTTAAGGCGTTGATTCTCGGTGAAATGAGGGAATCTCGCCTTTCAACAATTCGCATCGAACAAGTATCGCATCACATATTTTTATCAATTCTGGAATATCTGTACACGGATCAAGTTCAGATCCCTTTTGATTGTGCCATGGAGCTCTTTGAAGCAGCAGATCTCTTCTGCATCCCACGTTTAAAGACAATGTGCGAGAAACGAATGCTCCAGTCAATTGCTGTGGAAAACGCCGCTGCGATATTCCATGCAGCTGACATGCATTCAGCGCAGGCACTGCGTCAAAAGGCAAAGAAGTACATCCTCTCTCACTTTGAAGAGATTTCGAAGACGTCCTGCTTTGAAGAAATGGGAAGAAGCAATATTGAGCTTGTATTTGAGCTACTCCAGAGCCGTTAGGTACGGACGGTACAAATCCTGTACGGTTTGGCTTTAGTTAAACACTGTATTTAGTATCCCAAACTGGCGGTGTGGGCAATGGACGGATGGTTTGCTTTTTCTTTGAATTCATCCGTCTTCCACTGTCTGCTTTCTGGAGGTAGTCTAGGTATGTTGCAGAAAGCTATCTTAAAGCTCTAGCTGGCTAATTGTCATTGTCAATGTTGCCAGTTCTGCCCTGCTGTTCTGCCACTGACAACCGCTCTGCTTTGACTTGCTCCAGAAATCTGTCATGCCCATGTCCCAATATCGCATAGACAAAGGCATGTAAGACAAACAGAGCTGCCACTACCACTCCAATGCTCCAAAACATCACATAGGGTCCAAATCGGTCCATGACCAAGCCTGCAAACACAGGTCCCAGACCACCGCCCACACAGGACAATGCTGTGGAAAGGAGCGTCTGCACTGTGGTAGACCATTCTTTTGGAGCCACAACTGCTGCGTAGTCAATGGAGGAAATCCACATGCAGGCAAAGGTAATGCCATGAGAAAATTCCAAAACCAGTACCCATTGTGATGTTGAGGGTGTTAGGAATGTATACCCAATGACGCGAGTGGAGTAGGCTAGCATGGACAGGAGGAAGAGAACGTCATGCCCCAGCTTGGATAGCAAATAGTCACTAAAGTGGAAAATGGGAAGTTCGAGTAGAACAGTCACTCCCACTGTGTACCCACATAGCTCTGTGGATGCCTCAAGTTCATTTTGTAGGAATACAAAGAGGAAAGAATCCACAATCATCATACCAGCCCCAATTATAGCTACCTCAGCGAGCCACAAACAAACTGGCAAGCGTAGAATAGCCCTCCGTAACTCAGAAATAGGAGGATGATTGGAAGATGAATGAACAATTCTATTGCCTTCTTCCTCTGTTTGCTCCTGTTGATTGTTGTTGTTAAGCCGATCGTAGAGCTGTTGCTCTGATTTGGATCTGGTGGGCAATCCAAAAATAATGGCAGCAAGCATCAGCAGCATCATTGTGCCAAAGAGAACAAAGTTCCAATGGAATCCCAAGTGATCAGTGATCCATCCCATTACAACAGCACCCAATCCCCAACTGACTGCTGTCCACAATCGAATGCTGCCATACATGCCACGATGGGCCTCTCCCAAAAAGTCCAATGTATGTGCATCCAGGACGCCACCGGAATTAAAACAGGAAATGGCAGCCACACAACACAGAATGGGCCAGAATCCCTTCCAGAGTGGTAGAGACAAGAGAAACACAGTACAGCAAGTTTTGCAAATGACAAAGACAGTTTTTCGAGACTGCATGTAGTCGGCAATGTATCCCCAAACTGGTTGGAAAACCAGTCTGAGGACAGGTGCCACACCCTGTAGGACTCCAATTTGACCAGCACTCAGGTGCTTGATTCGGTTATAATAGATGATTCCAAAACGACCCCATGAAGAGGAAGATAGGCCACTCAGGAAGTACAAGATGCGATAAAAGAGCAGACCTCGGAAGCTCGGTGGCGGTACCTGTGGTAGCTGATCATCTTCTGGTGCATTACCATCTTGCTCTGACAGCAGGGGCTCGCATAGTTGCTGATTCTGCACTGCTGCCTCAACTGACGACACTGCTTGGCCATCAGAGCCATTCTGGGGATGCTGATCGGATACTATTGGGTCTACACTCATCATGCTGGCTACCGTACGGTATGTTTCTATCTCTGCGAACAGTGCCCTCACTATAGTGTGGCCGTGCGGCTGGCGGTTGCTCCGATCTACGATTGTGATCCGATCTACGATTGTGATCCTTCGCTCCAATTATTAAAAATCGAATCGATCGAATTTCTGCCGAATCGATCGATTCGATCATCTTTTACCAGTCGCGAACAGGTCTCATCACTCTACAACGACACGTGGAAGTCTGACCCTGACAAGTTCCACGAGGCCACCACACGAACCATCAACAACACACAACAAACCCAACACACACACCAGAGCAAGCTGAAGCCAGACACTCCGTTTCTACTACGTATTCCTTTTTTAGGTTTTGAAGCCTTGTTGCCATCGTTTTGCTGCAGTAGACGCTGGGATTCCTAGCTCATTCTTGATCTACAGCTCAGATTTATAACGTTTGGAAACCATGAGATTTCACAAGTCTGCAATGGCGCTGGTGGCCGCCATGAGCCTCTCTGTGGAAGTGTCATCGACAGCTTCCCCTATCGGAGGGGGCACAGGACCTGCATATTCCTATTCTCAGCAGCAACAACAATGGTATGGCCAGCAAGGTCAGTATGGTGAGCCTCAGCAGGTGCAAATGCAGGAACCAGAACAACAACAGCAGGCGACAACCACACAGGAACCAGAACCACTCAGTACCGGTAGCGAAGACAGCCGAGAGAATCTTCCGCCACTTCCACCAGGATGGTCCGAACATCTAGATCCTGCTTCAGGACAGTACTATTATTACAATTCAGCCGATGGAACCACCACCTGGGATCGGCCCTCTCCACCCCCAACCGAAGAGACGAAGGAAGAAACACCACAAGTACCGGAACAACCACCGGAAAGTACTGATCCGAGCTATCAAGATCCTTCTGCTTCAGCAGCAGTGAATGAGCCAGCGGAGAATCCAACTGAATCAGCCGACCAGTCCAATGTGGATATGGCCTCGTCGTTTCACAAGGAACCCGAACAGGCCAACAACCCCACTGCTGGTGAAGGACTACAACAGCAACAACCACCTCAGGGATCTTGGCAGCAGGGTCAAGGGTGGGGCACGCCACCGCCCAATCAGGAGCCCGTGAGTGGAAAGCCTCCAGAAAGTCACCAGCAGCAACAACAACAGCAGCAGCAAATGCCCTCCCCTGGCTGGGGCATGCCAAGCAACCAGCAGCCACCCAAGCAAGTGACGGAGGACAGACAACAACCACATCAACAGGAACAGAACCAGCAACCTCGTCCTGCAACGAATCTGCAACAACCCCAAGGATGGGGCATGCCACCAAGGTCCGAAGATAACAAACCAGCGAATCCTCAAAGTGGAGGTCCTCCTCGAACGGGAGCGTGGGGCATGCCCGCACCTGGCCAGAATGCTCCGCCAAGGTCGCAGCAAGGAATGCCCCCCAACCAGCGGGGAGCTCCTCCACAGAGTCAGGGTGGTCCACCTCGTCCTGGTCAAAGCAACATGCCACCTCAGATGCGCCAAAATGTGCCTAGGCCACAACAACCAAACCAGCAGCAACCAGGTGGAACACGAGGACCTCCTCCACAGCAGCAGCAACCACCACGCCAGGGCAATCCCCAACAACAGCAGCAGGGCAGCCCTCAACGACAATATCCCCCAGCTGGCCAACATCCCTACGGCGACCAATACGGTGCCTACGGACAATATCCCGCCGGTCAATACAGACCACCACCGGGACAGCAGCAACAACAAGGTGGATATCCTCGCCCCCCACAAGGCCAAATGACGACCCAGCCCGACGGTGCTGTCGGCGAGGCATTGGGAGGAGCCTGGAAGAGTCTATTGGGTTTTGGAAGCAAGACAGCTGAGACTGTGGCACAAGCACGCGAAACCGTGGCCACAAAGGCGGCCGAGGCGTCTCAGACACTTTCCACTACCAGCTCCAGTAAGTATTTCCGATTGTTTGACTGCTTATACAAGGCCTGCCTGGTAGCGCCGTGCGATTGTGGATATTCATCTGACACTATACCCCCCCCCCTACTCATTGCCTATCTTTTGCACTTCAGGTTGGCTTGACATTGCCAAGAACTCTGTGGGTTCCTTTTTTGAAGGCGGGAATGACGCCAACAAGCCAGGTGGATACTCTCTGTCGGGTGCACAACCACCGCCCCAAGGAGCGTCTGGGCCTCCCGGCAGTGGTCCTCCCCCAGGATACCGTGGTTACCCACCTCAGGGCGGGTATCCGCCAAGAGGGTACCCACAACCTGGTCAGCAACCACCACGACCCCAGGGCCAGCAGCCACCTCCTGGGTATCCTCAACAACGACCTCCACAAGGTTATCAGCCTCGTCGTGATCAGGCCTACCCTCAACCAGGGCAGCAGCAACAACAGCAGCAGCAACGAGGCCAGCAACAGCCGATGCAAAATCAATGGGGTCCGGGCAATCCTCCCCAGCAACCAGGAGGCTATCCGCAGCAAGGCTACCCTCCTCGAGGCAGTCAACAGCAAGGGCAACAACGACCTCCAGGCCAACAGCAAGGCAAGCCACAGGGGAACAACCAGCAGCAACCACCCTCTAACCCATGGTCGCATCCAGGACTAGGCCCTGATTACTGAAGGGTCTATGGAATTGAAAAGATGTCCTGTGACAGCGTCCATTGAAATTCATGAGGAACTTCTTAGAAACATATTATTCGATTGGCTTAAAAAACTAAGATGCACAGCGATAACACAGTGTAACGATTGAAGATTCGATTCGATTTGATTTCCCACCAGAGTCGAAAAGCCGTTCCGATACCGGTGCATTGAAATTTTGACAAGGATTCGAGCAGACTGAAGTTCGCTGCCTACCGCACTTTCCCCGGGGATTGGCACCCTGACTGGTCATACTCCAGCTAGCTAGACAAGCCGACTGGTTGTCACTTTTTACATTCGTGATGGCGCCTTGGGAGCGCTTTGGCGAGCGGAAAACTCCTCAGAGAGACGACGGATCACCTATGGAGGAGACTATCCGAGTTTGGTCACCTGCCTGGCACCTTTGGCAGAGGTGACCCCTTGTAGACTGCACTGGTAGCCAGCTCCATCCTACCGGCATCGCAAAGTGGAAGATATGCTGCACGTTTTGCAGGCTTCGCACGCTGCGCCGCCGCCCACAGTCACAGATCTGACTGCGTCACTCTGGATCCGGATTGCTACCAGTTACACCGGGTACCGTGGTACAGTACCTTCCACCGGCTTGGGAGGCAGGTGATGTTGCTTATCGCACCTGCTTCCCTCGACTGGATCCTTCCAGTCAACAGTACGAGTATAACTTTCAATCAACTTTTTAGCCGCTAGAGCTGCCGCAAGTATGCATAGAACCGGTGAAGAGTTAGATGAGCTAAAATGTTACTGGTGGGTTCCCAACTTCCCAACTCCCAACTCTTACACCGCTTTTTAGCCGCAAGGGCTGCCGCAAGTATGCATAGAACCGGTGAAGAGTTAGACGAGCTAAAATGTATGGTGGGTTCCCAACTCCCAACTCTTACACCGCAGAATGTTGCTCCGAAGTTTGATCACGTCTAATCTCTCTCTGCTCTTCTTCTTCATTGATGGCTCTTCAGCGCTAGCAACATTCTTTCGTGGCGCAACAACGAAGCTGTTCTTTTCAAAACCATTCAAACTATAAACTTCTACTACTAGCGGAGGAGGCACGCACTGAGCGTATTCGTAAACTGGAAGGTGGCCACGCAATTTGTTGCGGGTTCAGCTGAAGCGAATGCTTGAAGCAGGCTTCAATGACTTAGCTGAATTACAGTCGTACCTACAGTAGCTTGCAACCAAATCCATAGAAGCGAAGTCCTACTGGCAAGTACCATGCCGTAGAAAGGTTGTCGAGGCTAGCGGTACCTGTACCATACGGTACTACTAGCCAGCTAGTGGCTCAAGCGCTTAGCGTATGTCGCGATGTGAACCAAGCTTCTGTCGACTCAGCTCACCACGAAGCGAGCTTGGTTGGAGAGCAGGATGACGGTGGCTTTTCCAATTCCTCCGTCCACTTGCAAAGCCTTGGTTGAGTTCCGGTCCGTCAAGCAAGCATGGTTTCTTTCCTTCTTGACGATGACGCGTTCTGGTGATACTGTAACGTTGTATCAGGCTTGGAAGGAAAAGTGAATCGATCTATGTTGTTTTACATCTATACTGCGTGGTTCTAGCTAGTTCTGTGTGTTGGGACGCATGATGGCGCCACCCCCCTCGTTTTTGGACCCATTCGTATGGCTGCCGCCTTAGCGCTTCTTGGAAGTGAGCGCATTCATTTGCTTCTTCAGCATGGCTCGAAGCTTCTTTCTCGACCTCGTGGTGAGACGCATCGTCTTGCTATGAGAGCGCTTGAGCCCCATCTTGCGATCCCAATCATGAATGTCCTGCTGGCTTTTTTGAGTCTTCTCCATAGCACTTGACAGGGACATGAGCTTTGCACGCGCTTCTTGTGGGTCCATGGTTCTGATGAGTGGCATCTGCGCTTGGGCCTTGTTTGTTTGCTTGGCCTTTTTGGGCTTGCTAGTGGGAGTGACTGGAGTGGGGGTCAGAACAACGGGTGCAGAAGGTTTCGTAGCGGTCTGCCAAGTGACGAGATCGTCCTTGTTTTCTTCTGCTGGTGTGCTGCTATCGAGAAAGGACGGCATCTCCAATCCACTCTCGACAAACGATGTCAGAGAAAAGCGGCGTTGGATACTCTGCTCGAGTTGTTGTTGCTGCTGATGCGGCTGATGGGATTCTTCGGAAAAGATGCTCTGAATAAGCGCAGCGTTGCTTAGGCGTCGCTTCTTCGCAGAGAAAAACTCGTCAAAACCAAAGTCGTCCTTATCTCTCTTCTTGGTGTTGGCTTTCATGTCAGCAAAGGGGACAATATCGCAACCGATGGGATCAGGGCCAAAAGAGGAAGCCTTCATGAGATCGTCACCAAAGCCTGTTACAGAGGCCGTCGGTGTCATCCCGAAATAGTCGTTGCCCAATCCCAACGAGAATCTCTTGGAGTACAAAACATTCTCGCCGTTTGCGGAGGAGGAAGTCTGATGTTCGCAGATGGAGTGATTGGGAGTCACAATGTTATTAGTGGCGGAAGGATAGAGGGTGCTTCCCATTGTGCTCATGGAAGCAGATAAGGTGGCGTCAAAGCCGTTGCTGCCAAAGGTACCAGTACCCTGAGGATGATGATACCCATTGTTGCCAGTGACACGTCGCTCCGCGTTTTCTCGGTTGAGTTGGGTAAGCAACTCGCGCTGTGACGATAGCAAAGTGAGAAAGGCTTCATCGTTGTTGCTGTTCATCATGATTTCGGGCTTTGGGGCTCTGTGCGGACAAGCAAGCAAAACAACGAACCGATGAGCATGGCGAAGAAATATCATAATTAGGTCACAAACCCGCATCGGCATTTCCACTTACTGGTATCTGTTCATGTTCATTGCTCGCAGACTTCTTATGACCTTTGATTGTGATGTGATGCCTCTTGGTTGGTAACTTGCTCAAAGTATCAATGGGTTGTTGGGCTGAAGGAATATTCGATGGTTTATGCTCTTGTGTAAGACTACTCTGATGCAATTTATGATCAAAGAACTCGTTCACAAGGCTTGAGTTTTGAGGGGCTTGGGTGGTGCTGGAAGGAGGCTGAGGGGATAAATGATGGTTTGTTTTCAAAAGGTGACCCTGAAACTATTTGGTTTGGGTACATGTTCTGGACGTAGCCTGGACATTTTGCTTTTCCTTTGTGCAATGCCAGATTTGGCCTTGATTCAGATTGGAGCATGTGAAAATGACTTCTTTCTGGTCACCTTAGCTCACGGAACAGAAGGGATGAGCTTGGGATGTCACCTCAACAGCTCCATCCTACGACCCAAAAAGGCTGAGAAGAAAAGGATCCGCGATGCACTTCTATTTGCGGGAATTAGACGATAAAGGAAGCAATAGTCTAGTTATGGTTTTGTCGAGGATTACATTTATGCATACATGTGGTACCTGGTACTGGTACCAACCCTTTACGCGTTAGATACAGAGGCTGGAGCTGGAGCTTGCCTTGGGAAGCCACCAACTTGCCAAAACGTTTTAGAATCAATCTCAGCAGATACATGTACGGGTACAGTAGTGCCGTAGTTAGAAAGATGATTAAAAATATTACTTCAACCCTTTTTTAAAAAAATGTTGAGTGGGTACGGACTGGCACTCCGGAGAAGATTCATTTCACGTTTCACGATTCGATTTTACGGTTATTTTACAGTTTTCGGAAATGGGAACCCGGAAGTGGTCATTTCGCGATTCCGTTGCACGATTCGGTGGTGAATGACTGGTTGACTGGTTGCTAGAATAACAAGAAAAGATTGAAATTTACCACCATGGCAACAGTGTTGGCCAAATGGTCTCTAACTCTACCATTACATTGTTCTAGCTGAGTCTGTCAGAGGACTAGCTCCCCAACACACTCACAGAGCCACCCCTTGAAGGGACTCAGCTATCTCCAAGGTGTGTCATGGAGCTCAGCAGAGAATTCCTGGCTGGATTAGTGGTTGATCTCCTTGATGCCGACAAGGCAGACAATGTCTCTCCCTTCAAGGACTGTTGGTTGACCCTTGATGCCATCAAAGCAGTCATCTGCAAGAGATACAATGTGGACAATAAGGATGTGGCCACAGGGCAACTGTCAAAGGCAATGGATGGGATCCAAATCAGCAACAGCGACAACAATGGCAACAGCACGCCTCTTCACTTTGCACAGGCTGTCACATTCAAAGGATTCCTTATTGATGGCACCAAAGCAAAGAAAAAGAGGAGAAGGTTAATATTCCTCTCTAGATCTAAGGAAGCACCATCTCTTCCACTCAACAAAGAGGAAGAGTTATGGCAAGACTTACTCTTAAAATCTCATCAAATTGAGGTTGGCTCTCATCCTGACATTCTTGCCGTGAAATCATATGGAGAGAGATCCAGATCAACAAGGCAGCGATCTCCTAGTCTTGGAGAGATGGATGGCAAACTGGAGGTGGCGACAGCCAAGGGGAACTCTAAGTAGCCAAAAAGAAAGCAATAACTCCACAACTGTTAGCACGGGGAATTTAGGGGGAACAACCGTTGTAGTCGAGTCGAACAAAACTTACCGCAACCAAACGACGATGAGCGCAAGAGGCAATCATCAGAGACGGCACAGACTCCGCCCCGTTCGAAAAAGCAAAACAAGGAAGAGACACCGCACGCCCATCGTACTCGCTCTCGTTCCGGCCATCCTCCTGGTAGCTCGAAACCAAATCCCGTCGAATATGAGCCCACTGCCGTCAAGAACGGCGATACTGCGGGTCGACAACCGAGGCAAAATCATGGGAGCAATTACGAGAGAATAGCCCAAAGGTCACTTTAGATGGCGTGGATCCTGTGCTCGGAGACGATGTTTCCTTACCTGATGATACCGTCTCTCAGCTCGAAGAAGACGTCTCTCTGCTCCAGAATAACGACTCCATATTCATGGATGACGGCTCTGTGCCCAAAGATGACGACTCCGTACCCAAAATAATTCTGGTCCGTCCACAGCCAATGATGACGACTGTTTCTTGATGATGCTTCATTCTGTCGAAGCGTGGTTGCCTCTGTGGGCTCCGTTGGCGCTGCCCGTAGGACTCTACGGCGTGCTCCTCCAAAGATTGGGCCGGAGAGGCTCGAGATGGAGAAGTTTCGGAATGTCTTCAAACCGTTGCGGAATCAGTCCGTCAAAGATTGTTTGGATGAGCGTATCCAAAAGCTACGTACCGCTATTGATGACTGGAGGGAGATGCCGTCAATCCTCGTTGGTACGGACCAGGAATTCGAAGAACTCTCCGTCAGTGCAAGACAATCCATACAACAAAGCAATCTTCCTTGCAGAGCTACGAATGCTCTTGAGCCATTCCCCGTTAGACTGGACTTGGGAAAACTGCATCAATCTTGCCGTCGAGGCTTGCCGAAATGGTGGAAATCGCGCATACAACCATTGGCGAGTAGTGTACGAAATCCAACGATACTTCAGGCGACACGAGGGTTTCATGCCTCCTCGAAGGACAAATGGCAAAGGAAGCGTTGAGTTTTTCAGTGTGTTCCCAGAAGCTCCCATTATGCTGTATCGTCATTGCAAGAAAAATCCGGAAAAACTCACCTGCGAGTTTGCCCAGCGTTACCTGATTGACACCGTAGTCCCTCACTGCTGGAGAAGTGTAATCACGAGCTGGCTCTCTCTGCCATCAAGCCACTCAACAAGGATCAGTTCCTCGCCATGGTTCGTCTCAAGTCGATCTCTGTCTCCACTGCATGGCGTTGGTTGCGGCTCTTGGGATTTGAATACCGTGAGAACACCAAGACGTATTATACTGACGGTCATGAGCGTCCTGACAACGTGGCTTACCGCAAGAAATTCATCAAACGGTACTTTGAACTCGAAGATCGCTGTATCGCTGGGCGCAGGTGCCCGCAACTGCCGCCATGGGGCTGGAAGCCGAAGGATTCCTGGCGGCGGACTCGAAACACTACAAGACATACGAGATGAAGAAGATTACGAAGAAGTTGAGATCGTGAATACACATTGACGCCAACCATGAAAAACTCCTTCAATTCGTACCTGAGGAGCAGCGCAAGTTTGGTGGAGACTCAAGCGTGACTTTGACTCCACACAGCGTCCAGTCATCATCATTGGACAAGACGAGTCTGTATTCATGCAGTTCATCGTTTCGAAGAAAGCTTGGAGCGTTGACGGTGAGCAAATTCTCCGCAAGAAGAACGACGGCCAAGGTCTTCATGTGAGCGCCTTCGTCTCGGATGCCTTCGGAATGGATCCAGATATTTCGGAGTGGCTTGAAGAAATCAATGAGAGGCGTAAAGGAAGGAATATATCTCCAAGGAAGCGGCCACAATTGAGCTTGGAAATCCGTCCAAGCGGCCAATTACCAAAGAGGCAGCGAAGAAATGTGCAAATCC